GGATCATATAATTTTCCGGGTTCTCGGAAAATTTGTCTTTGTCTGTTTTGTCTTTGTATGTCAAATTTGTCTTTGTCTATTTTGCGATCAAGAAACCAATTGTGCTTCACCCCGAGTTTTCAATCGAGTTTCTTTAATCTTCCTTTTTCCACTACTTATAGTATTAATAAAAGGGGCGATAGGAGGGCGGGAGCCGGCGAAAAAAGGGGGCTAGAGGTGGGAGAGGATAGGGCGGGAAGCGGGAGTTCTAAGAAGGAATCATTTATCAAGTGTTAAAATACTTTCAAAAACGAGAACCCAAGATGTTTTTTTTACTTACATTTAACTTATTTTGAGACTTCTGGACCGACGGAAAAATGAAAATTCGTCCTTGGGCTGAAAAACTGAGGCCTACTCCCGGTAAAATTGGAAACCCGGTGGCTGCGTCAGGGTGATGAAATGTTGTCACTTAAGCTGTCAAAAGACGTGAGTAAGAGGAGCAAGGGTAAAGAGAAAGGGAAAAACGAAAAGAAACGCCTAAGGATTGCGCAGCTAAATGACGAGCATGTGTTTTGAGTCTCCTTATTTACAGGGGACGGTAGCAAGACGGACAAAAGCGGGAGTCGAGAGATAAAGGTAAGGGAAGCGGGAGAGCAGGGTACGGGAAGCGGGAGGTTGTCCCCCAACCCTCCCCTCATAACAAAGGGTAGAGACAGGAGAAACGTTATTGAACGATTCAGCCTTTATTTATCCGCTTGTTACATTTTTTTGAAGTTCTCAAATTACCCACATTTACCAGAATCCCAACCCCGCATTCCGCATTTACTCAATAATCACATTTACTAACTTAATTCTTCAGCTATTATTTTCCCAATTATCATTTTAATACTAAGTTAAGACCGTCATTCAATTGTCGAGACGTCATTGCTACAATCAATACCTGGGAAAAGAAAAGATGTTTATAATTACTCGGGGTTAAACATTATTCATAACATAACATTGCTAGTAAGGAGCTTTGAAAAGTAGCAGAACGTTGGAACCCGTTGAATTATATAATACTGTTTATAAATGGAGTTAATTTTTTGACAAAGCAGGCGAGTCTTCAGATCAGTCTATTCCATCTCGTAAAATAGATGTGAGTTATTTAGGTCCCGACGCACTACGCCGGAGAAATTTGACTGAAAACGCCGTTTTCACTCTCAAAATGCATTAAATGTTTTTAGTCCACACTACGCCGGACACATTTTGAAAAAGCAACAATCAGCGGTCATTTTGGATTTTTGTTTGAGGAAAACTGGGGCAGGGAGGTCATATGATAATCATGACGTCACTGTTTTGGAAAAGCTGCGTTTTCGTGACGGATTAGTGTGGACGGTAGGCCTGACCGTAGAAATAAAGCTGCGTTTTCAAATTCCTCCCATGTAGTCTGGACTGGGCTTTAATTTATGTATCCTTGTGTATAAAGTTTTAATTTAACTTTAATTTTTGACGTCAAATTTGTAACTATCTTCTACTGATAGAAACATATTTATGCTAATTTTGTATCTTTAACTGGCAGTTTTTATCGCTAGTTTTTATCACAAAAACGGTGTAATGTAGTTATTGTAAAAAAACCAAGCAATAACAATAGATGTAAATACGGGATTGAAGTATTGACACGTTAACAAATAAAATAAATAATTCCCCGCTAAGAATCCATACTTACTCGAGCATGCAGCAGCATTTATTTCCATACGGGCAGTCCGGGGAGCAATGTACATGATTAAACGGGCAACTTGCGCCCCTCGGGACGCAAATTGCATTAAGCATGTCATCGCACACTGTAAACAAAAACAAAAAAATGATCGTTTGTTTGCTAGCAAACAACGAGTCATGCTCCAAGAACAACCTAAGAATAGCAATTCAGTCTAATGAATATGTTCACAAATCAGTTAAAAGGTACAATTTGAACAACGTGCGGTTGTCGTCAAATGGAACAATGGGACACTCACTCCTATCTATGTTCCTGGCCTGCAAGGGGTTCATCCTCCTGTTTCCGGAGACTGCACCCTGTACGGTAAGGGCCCCCAAAATGATCAACAACAGGCAGGCAACTTTGGTGTCCATAATTATCTTACTGCAATAGAAAAAAAAACAAAAAAAAAACAGGAATTAGGAGAGAAAACAAATGTACAACGTTCTTATAGCTTCTTATGATTTAAAGAAGCTTAGTCACGGTATTTTGAGTTATTTTGACCACGTACAAAATATTATTTTTAAATTATAGGGAACCTGAAAATAGTGGCTTACTAATATGGAGAAACACCAAAAAGATAATAATATAACATGAACGAACGAGGATGGTTAAGGATGGAGCAGATTAACATGGATTACAAACGACAAACTTGAAAAAATTTAGGCTAACATTTTCAAGGTGCGCAACCGTGAAGTAGCTCCCTTAACCCTCAACGACCTAACCCAAAGCTTATTCAGCAAGTCAGGCTACTTTCAAAGGCCTCTGTTTAACTCAAAATACTGAAGCATAGTTTGATGTCCTACCTTGGCTTAGAAATTGGAACTTGAGACGGTGGATGAATACGCAATATCAAACAATCTCTTCAAGTACTGATGAAGACTGCAAGACATACTCTTATTTATTCCCCATAGGCCGCATAATTTATGCGTTTTTGAGAGGCGTTGCCTCTTAGAATATGAACAACATACACGTGAAAAGAAACATTCCTACATGTTGATCTGGCTACACTGACTACAAAATTATTAACTAGCTGTCTGGCGGTGTGCGTTTATAGCTGTTTATTTCCAATCTTCCTCTGTAAGGGATGCTTTTAATTTCAAATCTCCCCCAAGGTCAAATGAATATTTTAAGTTTCATCTCTAAACAGCTTAAATATTTTTAAATTCCCGCGTCCTTATTTCAGTTCTCTTCTTATATATTTTTGCTTGACGAAAAAAGACTTAGTTCTGTAAGTCCAAATGTAACAAAGATTTCACACTGGATCAATAGATTGCACAAGAGCTAGACGTAAAACCCATCCATTTGGATTCCCCAGTTGTTAGTGGTGGAATTCCNATTGCATTGAAACATCGCCATATCTTTCTATGGGCTATAACTTAAAATACCATAAAAACACTTTCTACGGGTTAAATGAGCAGATTAACATGGATTACAAACGACAAAATTGAAAAAATTCAGGCTAACATTTTCAAGGTGCGCAACCGTGACGTAACTTCCTTAACCCTCAACGACCTAACCCAAAGCTTATTCAGCAAGTCAGGCTACTTTCAAAGGTCTCTGTTTAACTCAAAATACTGAAGCATAGTTTGATGTCCTACCTTAGCTTGAAAATTGGAACTTGAGACGGTGGATGAATACGCAATATCAAATACTCTCTTCAAGTACTGATGAAGACTGCAAGACATACTCTTATTTATTCCCCATAGGCGGCATAATTTATGCGTTTTTGAGAGGCGGTTGCCTTTTAGAATATGAACAACATACACGTGAAAAAAACATTCCTACATGCTGATCTGGCTACATTGTCTACAAAATTATTAACTGTCGGCGGTGTGCGTTTAAAACTGTTTATTTTCCAATCTTCCTCTGCAGGGGATGCTTTTAATTTCGAATCTCCCCCAAGACCAAGTGGATATTTTAAGTTTCATCTCTAACGAGCTTGAATATTTTTAAATTCTTGCGGCCTTATTTCAGTTCTCTTCTTATATATTTTTGCTGGACAAGAAAAGACTTAGTTCTGTAAGCCCAAATGTAACAAAGATTTCACACTGGATAAATAGATTGCACAAGAGCTAGACGTAAAACCCATCCATTTGGATTCCCCAGTTGTTAGTGGTGGAATTCCCGTTACGTTACCTATAAGACTTATTGGTAAAGGACAATAATTTTATTTTTTATGAAAAAATGTAAGTCGCCGGCTCTCTTTCTCGCAAGGATATCCGATGGGTTCTCGGTATAAATATATTCTTAATGATACAGGTGAAGTAAGCTGTAATGCTCATTTGGAGAAACTTCCTTGCAAACCCAAGAAAAGTCTTTTTGATCAGTTTGCTTTAAAGTCTTGGGTGCGGCCATGGATTCTTTCTCCGGGGACGAATATAAATGTAAGGAAAAATGATTCGGAGCAACTGAAAATCACGAGAACTGTTGTTAAAGGCCGAATTCCTAGAGTAAGCTGTCGCCTTTGGATCATGTGAAAATGTTTAAGAACATTAGGGAAGTAACAAATGATAAATAATACCTTTTTGGTTTTGTTTTGATAGTTCTATCTTTGCTCTAGAAGGTTTCCGCGGCTATAAACTTATTGACAATATTTTTATTCGTACTGATTATGAAACAGCTGCCAATAATTGTTTTGTTAACAACCTTCTTAATAATTCTTTCAAAACTCGTTGAAAGGTTTCCGACATTCTAATTTTGTAATAATTTTTGGGTGGAGAGTATTTTTATCTTATTAGTTTTGAGCGGTTTTGTAGTTTGAAAAGAACCTCTCGATGTTGCTAGTATGCGGCAGGCCTTTTTAGTTTTTTTGTCGGTACATTTTTGTTATTAGCGTTTTACTGAAAGCGCGCAATATGTCCATGGTTTAAGGTAAGTTGAATAAATATTTGGGGGAAAAGTGAGACGGGCCAAACAATGAAACTGGTTTCTTTACGTTACCTTGCGTGAAAGAACTGTATCGATACTGACGACGTAAACAAAACATTAACTATAAATATTTCTATTTATTTAAGGACTGTGCTCTTAACGGGTTTCTCTCAAAAACTGTTTTGAAACTGAGGCGTTGTTTTCAAAGCGGTTCCGACATTTACCTGTAGTCAATAATTTGAGCGTTAAAACTATGTGTATTTTGAGTAGTTATGAG